TTCCCACAATCCCTCAGCTCCCTCCCATGTCTTCCTGGCGGCAGTATCAGGGTATCTCTGACATAGATACAGTCGCTCAACTGCTGCCCTGGGCAAATAATTCATCCCACACCATTTGTTCTACAGATATGAATGATTCCTCATGTCATGTGAAGAGGAGAGGCGTGCTATTTTTTAGGGCTGCACGATTAAGCAAAATAAAACCAAAATTGCGATATTGCTTGGTACAATTATCAGATCACAAAGAATGAGATGTATTTTAATAAATAAAAGCGCTGTTTGTTTCAGAGTGACATACTTCACTGTGTTCTTTTACACGCGAGCAGCTCATGATCCAGTGTTTTCAGTGTTTCAGAATGGCTCAGTTCACAGTAAATTCTGCTCCACACAGACTCATATTTGAAAATGCAACACGCACTAAACATCTTTACAAATTTGTATTGAGAAGCACTTATAAATCGGCTGTTGTCAACAAAAGATAAGCTTTAAAGGCCCCCAGTGGTTTTCTTTCAAAATAAAAGCATGATGGTTTAACATTTGAAAATGAAGATATTAGAACAGCCATAGAAAATACAATAGTCAAAATACAATACTGTATGATAAAATTGTGTAATATTAACATTTTATTTTTTTAGAGAATGACAATTTACAATAAATAGAATAATAATTATTATTGTTGTTGCTATTATTATTATTATTATTATTATTATATAGTCATATTTATGTATATAAAAAAAATCAAAATTTTTTGGCCAAACTGTGCAGTCTTACAATCACAGCAAACCTGGAGCTTTTTGCGTTTTTTTTCAAATCACATACATACATATATACTGTACATACATACATACATACATACAATAATTCTTATTAGAGAAAGGAAAAAAAGAGAAAAAAAAAGCCCCAGTGCTATTTCTTTTCTAAACAATCAGACCTTGATTTTTGCCCATAAGGCAAAAAAATCCTAGACTTATACTGAAGGAGGGACCTGAGCCATATGTAGTATGCTGAGATGCCGACTATCTTGAAGGTGTACTTTTTTGACTTAAGCCAATAGACAATAACACAAAGCAGCTTAGCAATCACCCAGAACCATTTCTGTTGGCAGAACGGACCCTTCACCGGGAGCTTGACTGACAGGAGATCTGACCAATCATAATGCAGAATCTGCCATTATGTCCGACAAACAAACCAGACAGGAGAGCATAATGTCGGTGGACTTGAAAAAAAAAGGTGTTTATTGACATCTTTCCACGGTTGAAACAAAATACCTTCTGTTCACTCAAATTTAGTTCATGCTATAACTAGTAAAGAGGAAGAGATGATCGGTTCACGTGCCACTTGAACTGAGGTGCTACAGCGATTTGTCACCACATATTAAAGAGCCACAAAATGGTATTTGTTTGAATTTCTTAAAAAAAAAACAAAAAAAAGACAACATTTGAAAGAAACGCTTTGTTTCATACCAAAAGTAACCTGCTCTGTCTTGTATGTCGGCGCGATAGCAGTGTCCTCTTTGCTCCGCGATGTATTTTTCACTGCGTGAGAGCACCATGGCTTGTCGGATGTAGCAACAGTAACTAAGGGGGGGCGGGTCTTTGCGAAGGGTCAACTGAACAGGAAGTTCCCTAAAACAGTTAACACAAGTTAAGTAACGCAAGTGCTGACGTCAGCATCTGCGCATTTGCAAACAGGTGAGCAACAGGAGAAATAAAAGCACAGACTACAGCAGAGCCCTTCATGTTTGAAGTTACTACTGACTCCAGCGTTCTGGTCTGTAAGAGTCAGCAGCACTACCCAAAATACACTATGAACTCACCGCCAAATATATCTGACACACTGTGACTGTGACTGTGCTGGAGTTCTAGGGTAATAACCCATCTGCTCACACGGCCGTCCCCTCGTCCCGTCTGAGAGATTACGGTCAGAGCATTAGTGGGCCACTAGGTAAACAGGAAGATCAAACTCACAAGAGCAGCTCAATCAATGGGGCTCTTTGACTCCTGGCCAAGACATCGATTTATCCCTCTAGACCACCTTGAGAATGTTTGCGTATGTGTTTGTCAGCAAGAGTCAGACAGAGAAACAAAGAACAGAGGACAGAGACCAGATCTATGAATGTATTTCACATTGAGAGAGCAAAAAGAAGAAGCGAAGTCCATAAAGTCACTTTTAAAAACACGCAATATAATATGACACCATGAGATTTCTTGTTGCAACAGATCAGCTTTTGGCATCTGTAATAATCATCTCATACTAGTCCACATTACACAACATACGAACAGCTCAAATCTAAGGAACAAATCAATTGTCAATACAAATTCACATAATCAACTTGAATCCTATGCGAAATCTGCTTGGGGAAATCTTCCACCCTCAAGCGAAATTCCCGACTGTGCACATTCCTATCGAAATGACTCGATTTAGACCATGAAAATTTGCCGAACACCGGTAAATGTGACTGTAAATTTAGTCTAATTTGACTAACTGTATGTTTGATGAGCTTTAGTCTCAATGGGCTTTATATGAAAGTACAGTCCACTCCTTTGCATTAACTGAAAAGTCAACATTGAAAATTATGGAAGTCCGTTTCTGCCACAGAATTAAAGATTAAGAAAGGTAATAGCGACTTTTTATGTCAAACTTCTGAGTTCTTTCTCATAATTCCAAGTTTACATCTCACAATTTTGACTTGCAATTGCAAATTTAATCACTCACAATTCGGAATTTTCTTCTTGCAATATGCTTTATAAACTCACAATTGCAAATCAGCACCTCCAGCTCATATTTCACAATTCTGAGTTTATATCTTGCCGTTTTTGTCAGAATTGCAAGAAAAAAAAATCATAACTGTAAGATAAAAAGTCATAATTATGTTTTCATTTTTTTTATTCTGTGGCAGAAACAGGCTTATATATATATATATATATATTTTTTTTATTTTATTATTAGTTTTTTTTTTTTTTACACATTTTAGGGTTTTACTGAAATTTTTTTTTTTTTTTTTACATTTTTAATGTAAGATTTTAAGTCAACATAAAAGCTATGTTTTTTCAAAGTTAGATATGATCTTGGACAGTTTGAGATCTTAATCGGACTGTATTTCTATATTTCACATCAAATTGAAGGTAAAAAGTGTAGTTTCTGCACCACTAGTGACATCAAACGATATTGCAAAAATGAAGACTTTCCAAATGGGTTTTCATGCATTACAACCTTCCCTTCCATCTTTGACTTCCATTATTTGGGCAAACAGTGATTCAAAATTAGTTGAGACAAAGTTTACAGGCCTCAAAAAAATCAGATCAATGTTTCATTGGCAGTTGTTTCTGCACATTAAAATGAGCATTTTCACACCATAAATAATTACAAGCATCACCTTTAAATATGGCGTCTAGCCTGACCAAGGTTATTGATGGAGTGCGCGGCATCATCGCTAGCAGAAGCTAGGGATCTGCACATTCAGCAGGATTCCAGATGGTTAGCTGACTCACGGCATGACTGACTTTCATGTCTCACGGTTTTTTGTCTTCTTTTTTTGCCTGTAGTCGGGGACAGCAGAAACACCAGCTGAAGGTCTTTGGCTATGAGGCATAAAGCTATTAAAGGATAAGTTCACTTCCAAAATAAAAAAATCCTGATAATTTACTCACTCCCATCATCCAAGATCTGTCTTCCGTCACAAAGAAATTAAGGTTTTTGAGGAAAACATTCCAGGATTTTTCTCCATATATTGGAGTATATCGCGGCGCTAGTGCAAGACGAGCATTTGTGGTTAAAAAGTATATCAATTTTTATTTTTTTAAGAAAATAAAAAAAGACAGATCGTTTAGCTATATAAAACCCGTTGGTCCCCATTGAAGTCCATTATATGGAGAAAAATCCTGGAATGTTTTCCTCAAAAACCTTAATTTCTTTGCGACTGAAGACAGAAAGACATGAACATCTTGGATGACATGGGGGTGAGTAAATTATTAGGAAATTTTTATTCTGGAAGTGAACATCCTTTAAAGTGTGCTGTGAGCTGTTCTCTGCAAAGATGCAAAGCAAGATGCTGGCAGAATTTACATGCAATAAAGTTGGTCCTTTCTCCAAACAGAAGGTATGACATACAGATTACTAAATTTAAGAATCAGATGTTTTAATTAAGCAAGAATGTACAGGAGGCCCTTCTATATTGTGAATAAAGGCAAAGCTATACAGTATGACACAGAATGAAGCACCTGCAATATAAGTATATAAGTCGAAGTCGCAACATGTTTCAAATGATTTCTGGATATTCTGGAAAATACAGTATGCACACTTTAAAAAAAATAATAATTTGCAATAAAAAAAACTGCAAATGCAAATGGTAGAGGTGTTTAGAAAACCAATTATTTTAAATTATTTTTGCAATTTTATTAGCAAAAACTAAATGACACATTCACCCTTAAATTAGACTAGTCTTTCAGACAGTCCGTCAACTAATCACTTGTAAAAATATGCAGTTTAACCTATCCTGACCCTCTCTCTCGATCTCTTTTGGACACAAACTTCTTTTCACTCCATAACACAAACACACACCAAAATAGCCTTTGCAGCAGATTACGATTCGTCTTCATCTCCCTTGTGAGGGTGTGCCACTGTCAAATATCTTCTCAAACACCCATAAGCATGTACAAACACATACAAGCCCAAGACGTGCATAAATTCAGTGTCCAAACGCAGTGGTTTTAACTCCCTCCCTCCCCCTGTACTGAAACAGCCCGCAATCCCTTTTAAGAGAAGACAAGGAGAGAAAAAACAGGGGAAAAAAAGAGAAAAGCAGCACAGTTATGACTTCCAGCTGTGGGAACGACTGGCCTGCGAGCAGGAAGTCCAAAGGAAATGCCTTCGTCACATCCCGCTCCTATGTTCGCTCTTCAAAAATGGGGAGAATTTGCTCTCTTTTTCTGCGGCCCGTTTCATTCGTTTATTTTTATGGATGCGTGTGTTTTAGGCAGTGTTTTAACTTAAAGCCTTACCTCATATCTTCCAATAAATCACATTCCGTCTGGTGTTTGAGGTGCAGGCGGCCGAGCTGCTCCGTATGCGTGTTCTTCAGTTCCTGTGTCACTTTTACCTGAAGACCAGACAACATCATTAGAGGTGAGGAAGAGGATGGCACATGCAGGCTGCACAAACACACACAATATCCCACATGAGCTCATTACTGCATTTCCAGCTCCAGTCAGCTGTATGAGACAGAACGACACATTCACAATCCTTCCAAACAACAAGAGCAAAATTCCCACTAATCAAACTCGAACAGAACAGACAGACACAGTTTGATGGTCGATTCTTTCTATAAAAAAATGTGTCATTTTTTGGATGTTAAAACTTTTTCCTGACCCAGTTTGATATGAGGTCACTCAAAACATTGGCTCAACCAATGGCGTGAGTTTGGGGGCGGGACAATCTGACCAGCAGTGCTCAAGGAACCAGTTTGAAAATAGTCATTATTTTGTTTGACACTCAATGCGTGAAAGTAGCATGCTTCAGCTTTAAACTATTCTACAGTGCCTTGCGAATGTATTCATACCCCTTCATTTTTTCACCTTTTGTTTTGTTGCTGCATTATGTTAAACTGCTTTAAATTAGTTTTTTTTCCACAACAACCTACACTCCATACACCATAATTGTCAAACAAAAAAACAGGTTTTTAACATCTTTGCAAATTTATTAAAAATAAAAAACTAAAATGATTCCACTACATAAGTATTCATACCCTTATCTGGGACAGTTGAAATTTAGCTCAGGAGCATTAATTTTGCTTGTAGATATTACTACATTTCAAGTGAAGTTAACCTGTGGCAAATTCAACTGAATGGGTATGATTTGGAAAGCCACACACGTCTTAATAAAAGGCCTAACAGCTGATAATGCATATCAGAGCAAAAACCAAGCCTTGAGGTCAAAAGAACTGCCTGTAGAGCTCAGAAACAGGTTTGCATCAAGCCACACATCTGGGGAAGAGTTCAGAAAAAAATTCTGCTTCATTGAAGGGTCACAGAAGCATGTAGTCTCTGTTACCCTTAATGGAAGAAGTTTGAAACAACCAGGCCTCTTCCTAGAGCTGGCCTCCTGGCCAAACTGAGCAATTGATGGAGAAGGGCTTTGGTTAGCATGGTGAACAAGAACCTGATGGTCACTCTAGTTGAGCTCCATGATCATATGTGGAGATAGGAAAAACCTACAGAAGGACAAACATCGCTGCAACACTCCACCAATCCAGTCTTTATGGCGGTGTGGCCAAACTCAATCCTCTCTTCGGTTAAGACACATGAAAACACACTTGGAATTTACAAAAAAAGCACCTAAAGGACCCTCAGACTCTGAGAAACAAGATTCTCTGGTCTGATGAACCTCAATTCTAAGCATCATGTTTGAAGGAAACCAGCTCCGCTCATCACCTGCAGAGTACCATCACAAAAGTAAAGTGTGCTGGTAGCAGCCTCATGCTGTGGGGCTGTTTTTCAGCAGCAGGGACTGAGGGACTCGTTAGAGTAGAAGAAACGCTCAGTGCAGCAAAATATAGAGATAGCCTTAATGAAAACCCAGTTCAGAGCATTCAGAACCTCAGACTGGGCAGAAGGTTCACCTTCCGACAGGACAATGACCCTAAGCACACAGCAAGAGTGGCTTAGACAACTGTGTGAATGTCCTTGAGTGGCCCAGCCAGAGCCTGGGATTGAACCCAATCAAATATTTCTGGAGAAACCTGAAAATGTGCATCTGCCCCCATCCAACCTAACAGAGCTTGAGAGGTGAACAGGTGAGGTGAAGAATGGCAGATAATTGCAAGGCACTGTATGTTACACAATATAATACTGCTCATCTTATGGTTTAGACTAATATAGATAAATATGGTTCTACAATAGCCTAAACTATAAGATGAGCAATCACAAACCTGATCTAACTGACCTGGACTAACAATGATGAATATGATGCTTTGTGTTAAGTGCTGTATGTTTTTAGCATACAATAGTAATTAAAAACTCACATTATTAAATCAACTGAAACTAAAAAAAATAAAAACTGTACCAAAATGAAAAACAGATTTGCATATTTCTGCTGACATGGACATTTCTGAAGAGATCTTATCATCCTAAAATTAATACTGAAGTGTGTAAAATGTCTCAAATGCTTCCAAGGCTTTAAAATGTCTGAAATGTTTCCAAATTATGTTGATTGAATAAGATTTTATCAAAACAGTTAAGATGAATTATGTACTTTTATTATGAGAAAAATGTGTTATTTAGCATGATAGGAATTGCTTTCTGGCATGACACATCCTAACATTCCACATTTAATGGAATCTAAATACATCAGAAACTATTATATTATACAAAAATGTTTAAACATTTTTTTTACTGTAGCAAAAACAGAGAAGAATTCATGAACTTCTACTTACTATATGTAATCAGCAAAGTCACACCTTTAGAACATATCATGGTAATGAAAGAGTAACATCCTCACATACCATACTGTCCAAAAATACCTGTATTTTGGTGTATTTTTCATTTGTTACACTCTTAATAATAAAGGTATCAAAAGGGGGTTTCGCAGCGATGACAAAAAAATAACCTTTCAGTGAACAGTTCTTAAAAGAAGCATATTTTCTTAGTGTGAAGAACATTTTAATAATCTAAAGAATGCTTTTCCACTATAATGAAATGGTATGTTTGTTAGAGGAACCATCGAATAAAAAGAAAGGTTCTTTATTGGCAGAGTGTACTAGTGTCATACCAGTAACATGAAAAAGAAAAAAAAACGTTTTAGGTTTATCTACAGGAAGTTGCAAACATAAATGCTTTGAGGTCAACAATAAAGACACAGGTGATGGTTTCGTTTGAGACCTTTAACCACTCACATCCTGAAGTATGTGGAAGTGAAAGTCGTGGAATGATAAAGAACCCTTCAATTATGAATCAACATTGATTAAGCTCATAAACAGCTCTGTGCTGGAATGACTATGTGGCGTAACCGTCCAGAACGCTATAAAATAATCTTGATTATAGGAAATGTGGCATTGATAACAACAAATGTATGAGTTAAAGGAATAGTTCACCCAAAAATGAAAATTTACTGAAAATGTACTCACCCTCAGGCCATCCAAGATGTAAGATGAGTTTGTTTCTTTATCAGAACAGATTTGAAGAAATTTAGCATTCCATCTCTTGCTCAGCAATAGATCCTCTGCAGTGAATGGGTGCCGTCAGAATGAGAGTCCAAACAGCTGATAAAAACGTCTTAATGATAGATTTGTTTCTTACAAACACACAGCAATTTGCTTCTCAAGATATTAACTGACTGGACTGGAGTCCTTGTGGATTATTGTGATGTTTTTATCAGCTGTTTGGACTCTCATTCTGACGGCACCCATTCACTGCAGAGGATCCATTGGTGAGCAAGTGATGTAATGCGACATTTCTCCAAATCTGATGAAGAAACAAACTCATCTACATCTTGGATGACCTGAGGGTGAGTAAATTCTCAGTTTACTATTCTCTTATATGCTCTTAAAACAATCAAGACGAACACATTCTCCTCAATGTATGGGTTCAGTAACAGGTACTGGTACCTGAACCAAACGTGGCTACAAAGAAGGTGTGATACTCAGCCGCAAAAATCCCAACGGGACCAGACCAATGAGCCCGGGCAGGTTGACTAATATCTGGGGAGAAACTGTTAATTACAACAGAAGTTCTCCACTTGGCAGGTGAGGAGATAATTGGTTCAGTAACAACTCCCTAAAGGTTAAAGGCAAGGAGGATGGAAAATAATACAGAACGCCATTCCGACCCTACCAGCATCAGCAGGACACAATGTTACAGGCTGCACCAGAACACATGCTTTGACAGCCGGCTGCACGGCTCTCACCAACACTTTGAGCTGCACAGGTGAAGCATTATTACTCCGAGATGGAGGAAACATTCACAGCAGCATTTGCGTCAGTGGAAAACAACAGTGCATCAACAAAACAGCACATTTTTTCAGGCATTTACTGAGATCTTTGCGGAAATATCCACACTGATGCCAAACACAGATCAGATCAGATTTTTGCTTTGAAAGACACATTAGATGACACATTTACAGTCTGTCCAGCACATGCACCTTTTAATCTCACATTTAACCTATGATTTATACAAACCATATACTGTAGCCTATCCTGTGTCCTGCATATGGAAAGCGCTAGACGTCATTTTATTGTGCATTCAAGAGAAAAAACATTATCAGCGTGACAACGACCAAAGCAAACGCATCTTTGTTTAATATTTGCATTTTAAAACATCGTTTAGCCAAAATAACAGGGTTATTGTGGGGTAAACGTGTGCTACATGCTATCTGCCTTCCTTCTCTTCACAAGACAAAGCAATTGCAAAGATTCAGACGTCACCTTTAGTAAGGATTTGACACTCTGATGCAACGCTTTGAAGATTAAAATGCATAAATGTGTGCGGAATGATAGGAACACAACGGTTTCGCGTGATAATTTCACATTCCTCCATGCAGCCTGTGGGACATGAGTTTGAAACCCAACACCTCTGCTGTCACCTCTGAGGGAGACAGTAAAACATCTTTCTGTAGGATATATGAATGTAAACTCATCTTTCCCTCATGTGCATGACATCTGGACACATTTAAGCGAGATATGTAACACAATGTCAGACTTTAGGGTGAGAATAATGAACGGTGATCCGTCTATTTGACAAAAGCGTGGGGACTCGGTCCAATCTGAGGAAAAACACACAAGACGACTCTCATGGCTGCATGGTTTAACCGTTATCTGAGGGCAAATCAGTCTAAAACACTCTTCTATCATCTCTAGAAAAATATCTGCCGAATTTCGGGGTTATTAACAACCGCTGCCGCTTGAAAAACAACAATAAAAACAGGACCGCTCGAGAAAACTCTTGATACACTGTTTCAAAACAAACCGCGGCTGGATACAAAGTTGCACCTTGGAGAAAATGTAACAAATCACATAAAAAAAAACAAAAAAAAACACACACGTTGTTCCAACGCTGGATTCTTACCTTTCTTGGCGGAGGCTGCATGTTTGAACATTGGCACAAATGAAGTAATATCCCAAAGAAACGATTCCCACTGCGATCGGGATGGATGATTGAGAAAAGACTGGGATTCGGATCTGAATTCAGACGGCCATGATGAAGCAGGTCCAGTCGGGCAGACGCTCAACAAACACTGCGGATCAGGGGAGAAAGTAATGAAAGAGAATATGCCTCCAAAGATGAGTCTCCAACCGTAAAATCCAGCCTAACAGCGCCCCGGACCGGACACACCGAAACCCGCTGTACGAACCCTAATACGGGGAAGGCTTAGCTCATGAATATTAATTACGTAATGGGACGTTCGCTCACTTGGCGAATCTGATTGGCTTACGTTGGTGCGTGGGCAACGGTCAGTGGCTAATTTGAATATTAATGAAGTTATGTGATTGGACAGTTCAAGAATGCGCCAACGGCGAATGGAGCTCATTACTATTCATAAACTAGGCCTTTGCCATAGTAAAGTTAGTGCATTTCGCAATCCTAGTGATTCTTTATCCAGAGGATGAAAATAAAACAAATTTGGATTTACTTCTGAACAAAATGAATTATCGACTGTAGAATTCGGTAAAAGCAGATATCAAATGCGTAAAATAATTAGACAAACAGTTCTGGAATGTAGGCTATAACACATCTGTAGCACCGACATATAAAGCCACTAAATCTGCAGGGCTGAACATGAGGCTACACCTTAAAAGATTTTATTTGATTGTTCTTGGAATGTGTCGTAAAGGTCCTTAAACTTGTGCCTTGTGTATTTGCAATATAGATCGAATACAATCCTATAAAATTCACTGGATGTTACACGATGCATAACAATAATCAGATCTAAGAATCTCATAAAATGGATTCCAATACCATGATGAACCTCCTATTAATGTATCACAGACAGTGAGTGATCTTTTGACTTTTTCCACAATGTAAATCTCTCTGAAAAGGCCGGGGCTACTTGTCACAAGGGAAGAAATTCATGAAAGAACAGTCAAAACACTACTCAAGTCTTTATTATGACTTTTTTCTACATGTTAGAGTAATGAAAAATCTGAACACTAAATCTGCAGGGCTGAACATGAGGCTACACCTTAAAAGATTTTATTTGATTGTTCTTGGAATGTGTCGTAAAGGTCCTTAAACTTGTGCCTTGTGTATTTGCAATATAGATCGAATACAATCCTATAAAATTCACTGGATGTTACACCATGCATAACAATAATCAGATCTAAGAATCTCATAAAATGGATTCCAATACCATGATGAACCTCCTATTAATGTATCACAGACAGTGAGTGATCTTTTGACTTTTTCCACAATGTAAATCTCTGAACAGGCCGGGGCTACTTGTCACAAGGGAAGAAATTCATGAAAGAACAGTCAAAACACTACTCAGTCTTTATTATGACTTTTTTCTACATGTTAGAGTAATTAAAAATCTGAAACTCCAGTGGAAGTCTATATAATGACTTTTTATAATAAATTATATAATGATCAAAATATGTGACGCAAATGAAATCTCTTAAATTTGAGCTGCTTCTTTGTCTATATGCCAGTTCTGCTCAATTTGGACATCAACCAACTTTATAAGGTGCATCTTGGGACACTTTTGAAGCATCTATTGAAGTTCACATGTATCCTTAACACTTGTCGACTGATCATCCTCAAATTTTATTTTATTTTATTTTTTAAAGAAATGTATTCATAATCTGCCATTTAAGTTTGAACATTTAAAGTTTTTAAGTCAAGTCAAGTCAAGTGTGCCCAAAAGTTGTTGTACGTGCAGAGACTGACCACGTATAGTTTAGCTCAGGTTCATAACTCTGCTTACTAAGGGTAATAATTAATACAGTATTGTGAGGCAAGTACGACAGCAATCGAACTCTTTAAAGAAACATTCTTTCTTTCCTTCACAGTAACACAGACACAGAGGAAAGATGACGGACCTCATACAATTCTGATGAAGCCTGTTTTGTCCTTGCACTGGAACTGTGAAGGTCTCAGATGATTCAAACTGAGAGGAACAGAGGAACAGGTCAATACAAAGCTTTCCTGTTTTTTTTTTTTGTTTTTTTTTTTGCATTTTCATTAAGTTTTGTCAGTGTTCAGAATATATTTTTTGTATTTGGACTGTATAATGGTTTGTCAGGAAACCAAGCAATAGGCTTCATGCGTTAACATCTAAACTATAGTGTTATTCAAGTTCCCTGAATGAATGCATTTCCAGTTTCTTTCGGGCTGTGTGAATTTCTCCTCACTGTACTGTCGTGCAAGATGTTAATTATTGATAATTAGCATATGCCTTTCTCCTTTGACAGACTCTGCAGGGTTCTCGCCAAGGGCTCTATTCTGAAACATGTTAAACTGCAAAGCATGGTGTGTGTGTTTTTTCAGTATTATTGATTTAAAATAGATTACTGAACCTTAAAGGAATAGTTCACCCAAAAGTGCAAATCTGCTGAAAATGTACTCACCCTCAGGCCATCCAAAATGTAGATGAGTTTGTTTTATTATCTGAATCAACATTGACTTAAACTTATGCTGGAATGAATAGGCGGACAAAACCATCAGGGACTCTAAAATAATATTGGTTACAGGAAATATGGCATTGATAACAATAACTTTATGAGTTAAAGGAATAGTTCACCCAAAAATGAAAATTTGCTCAAAATGTACTCACCCTCAGGCCATCCAAGATGTAGATGAGTTTGTTTCTTCATGGGAACAGATCACTTGCTCACTAATGGATGCTCTGCAGTGAATGGGTGCCGTCGGAATGAGAGTCCAAACAGCTGATAAA